CTACACGTCCCTTGGCATCTGGCTGGTACCGCGCCTCCCGGCGTCCCAGGGAGCCCCCACGACGCCCAAGGACAGCCCAAGACGACCCCAAGGAGCCCCCAGAACGCAAAGAATGGCCCAACACGCTCCCGCGCAGCCGGAGACCCTTCCGACGGCTCTCCAGGCCTCCAGGAGGCCTCCAGAACCCCCAGGGGGTCTGGAAGATCCCACACCCCTGAGGGGCCCGGCTAACAAAACCCGCGAGGCACAAACACAAAACAGCGCCGAACAGCGCCGAGGAATTGGAAAAACGATGAAATCCCATAATTCCTTTTTTCCCAACCATCCTGTGGTGTTGGCTTCTCGTTTCGAAGAGAGCGCCCCGCGTCCCAGCTCTCCTCCTCCTCCTCCTGCTCCTCCTCCTCCTCCTCCTCCTCCTCCTCCTCCCCCTCCTCCTCCTCCTCCTCCCTCCTCCCCCGCACCGCACCCATTTCGCGCACCCCTCGCACGTTTCGTGGCCCCATGGGGAACCCCACCGGAGGCCCCAGTGGCAGAGTTCGCATGGCGGCACCGCGCCCATTTCGGCGCACCCCTCACACGCTTCGTGGCCCCATTGGGAGCCCCACCGAAGGCCCCAGTGTCAAAGCTCGCATGGCGGCCCCGCCCCATTTCGGCGCACCCCTCACACGCTTCGTGCCCCCATGGGGAACTCCACCGAAGGCCCCAGTGGCAAAGTTCGCATGGCGGCCCCGCCCCATTTCGGCGCACCCCTCACACGCTTCGCTGCCCCATAGGGAGCTCCACCGAAGGCCCCAGTGGCAAAGTTCGCATGTCGGCCCCGCCCCATTTCGGCACCCCTCACACGTTTCGCTGCCCCATAGGGAGCTCCACCGAAGGCCCGAATGGCAAAGTTCGCATGGCGGCACCGCCCCATCTTGGCGCACCCCTCACACGCTTCGTGGCTCCATAGGGAGCCCCACCGAAGGCCCCAGTGGCAAAGTTCGCATGGCGGCACCGCCTCATTTCTCGGCGCACCCCTCAGTCGTTTCGTGGCCCCACGGGGAGCCCCACCGAAGGCCCCAGTGTCAAGTTTCGCATGGCGGCCTCGCCCCATTTCTGCGCACCCCTCACACGCTTCGTGGCCCCATAGGGAGCCCCACCGAAGGCCAAACTAGCTGGCCGCTGCGCGCGCGCTTGGGATGGCGCGGCCGCAGAGATGCACCAGCCAGCGCCAAGCACACATCGCGATCACCACCGCATGGGTTTTGCAAACCAAGTTTCGGGTAGGTGTGCGGAGCGAGTGCAAAAACATGGACAACTCGTTTGTAAACATCGATTCTCCTTTTTTCAAAAGATTAATAGATTCTCCCCCCCTCCCCCCCCCCGGACTTATCGGTTCCCCCTGGGATAGTATGATTTCGTATATATTCTGCACAGTCGTCCATCCTAAATAAGAAATCGTACCATCCCAGCCAAACCGGGTTCTCCCCCCCTGCGGTTCCTTTGTGAAAAAAAAGCACTATGCGGTGACATGTTTTGTTCTAACATAGCACTTTTGCACGAATCCCTTGCAAAAATTGCACGAAGTGCGCACGTGCGCGTCGTCGCGCGCGCATGCCGAAATCCTTCAAAAACCTTCGGTGCCGGAAGGATTTCGCAATCGAGTTTCCAAAAAACATGCAAAACACAAGGTTTCGCAATACTGATTTGCTAAAAAAGCTTACGCGCGAGCTCTTGCGAAATCTTAAGAAAATAACCATAGGTTTTTCAAGATTTTCACAACATGCTACCAAACGGGCGTCGCGCGCGCGCACGTCGAAATCTGTCGAACGCCCTTGCGCGTGTGCCGTCGCGAGAATCCTCTGCAAAAAATGGGACGAAGTGCAGACGCGCGCGTCGTCGCGGGCGCATGCCGAAATCCTTCAAAAACCTTTGGTTTCGGAAGGATTTCGAAATCGTGCGTCCAAAAAAAAATACAAAAACACAAGGTTTCGCAACACGGGTTTTCAACAAAAGCGTGAGCGCGCGCTCTTGCGGCGTCGTCGTCGTCGTCGTCGCCGTCCTCCCTCCTCCCGCGTCGTCGTCGTCGTCGTCGTCGCCTACGTCGTCCTCTGTCTTTCCTCGTGTTCGTCGTCGTCGTCCTCTTTGGCGTCGTGGTCGTTTCCGTCGTCGTTGTCGCCGTGGTCGTCCTTCCTCCTCCTCCCTCGTCGTCGTCGTCGTCCGTCGTCGGCGTCTCGTCGTCGTCCCTTCTATTTCGTCGCCGTCGTCGTCGTCGTCGTTGTCGTCGTCGTCGTTTTCTCTCCTCCCTCGTCGTTGTCGTCGTCGGCGTCGCCGTCCTTCCTCCTTCTTCGTCGTTCGCGTCGTCGCCGTCCTCCCTCCTCCCTCGTCGTTGTCGTCGTTGTCGCCGTCGTCGTCCTCCCTCCTCCCTCGTCGTCGTCTTCGTTGGCGACGTCGTCGTCGTCTTCGTCGTCGTCGGCCTCGGCGTCGTCGTCGTCCTCGTCGTCGACGTCGGCGTCGTCGTCGCCGCCGCCGTCGTCGTCGTCGTCGTCGTCGTCGGCGTCGTTGACGTCGTCGTCGTGGTCGTCGGTGTTGTCGTTGTCGTCGTCGTCGGCGCGGTCATTGTCGTCGTCGTTGTCATAGTCGTCGTCGTCGTCGGCGTCGGCGTCGTCGTCGTCGTCGGTGTCGTCGTCGTCTTCGTCGTCGTCGTCGTTGTCGGCGTCGTCGAAGTCGTTGGAGACGTCGTCGGTGTCGTCGTACTCGTTGTCGGCGTCGTCGTCGTCGTTGTCGCTGTCGTCGTCGGCGTCGCTGTCGTTGCCAAGTGCCATTTGGTACCCACCGTCACGGTCTTAAGAGATTTTGCAAATCAAGTTGCGGGTGGGTGGGTGGGATGTTTGCGCGAGCAGTGGAGTGGACAACTCACTGCGAACAGAAATTATTTTTCCTTTCAATAGACTCTACCCCCCCCGGACTTAACGCCTCCCCCTGGATATATATATATATATATATATATATATATATGTATATACATAGATTCTGCACACTCGTCCATCCTAAATATGAAATCATACCATCCCAGGCAGACCGGCTTCTCCCCCCCTGAGGTTCCCTTGTAAAAGACACTATGCGGTGACATTTTTTGTTCTAACATAGCACATGTTCGCGAATCCCTTGCAAAAAATGGGACGAAGTGCACACGCGCGCGTCGTCGCGCGCGCATGCCGAAATCCTTCAAAAATCTTCGGTTCCGGAAGGATTTCGCAATCGAGTTTCCAAAAAACATGCGAAAACACAAGGTTTCGCAACACTGATTTGCTAAAAAAGCTTCCGCGCGAGCTCTTGCGAAATCTTGAGAAAACCATGGGTTTTCCAAGATATTCACAAAATGCTACCAAACGGGCTCCGCGCGCGCGCATGTCGAAATCTGTCGAACGCCCTTGCGCGTGTGCTGTCGCGAGAATCCTCTGCAAAAAATGGGACGAAGTGCAGACGCGCGCGTCGTCGCGGGCGCATGCCGAAATCCTTCAAAAACCTTTGGTTTCGGAAGGATTTCGAAATCGTGCGTCCAAAAAAAATACAAAAACACAAGGTTTCGCAACAAGGGTTTTCAACAAAAGCGTGAGCGCGCGCTCTTGCGGCGTCGTCGTCGTCGTCCTCCCTCCTCCCTCGTCGTCGTCGTCGTCGTCGTCGCCGTCGTCGTCTTCTGTCTTTCCTCGTCGTCGTCGTCTTGGCGTCGTCGTCGCTTCCGTCGTCGTTGTCGCCGTGGTCGTCCTTCCTCCCTCGTTGTCTTCGTCGGCGTCTCGTCGACGTCCCTCCTATTTCGTCGCCGTCGTCGTCGTCGTCGTCGTCGTGGTCTTCACTCCTCCCTCGTCGTTATCCTCCCTCGTCGTCGTCGTCCGTCGTCGGCGTCTCGTCATCATCCCTCCTATTTCGTCGCCGTCGTCGTCGTCTTCGTCGTCGTTGTCGTCGTCGTCGTCTTCCCTCCTCCCTCGTCGTTGTCGTCGTCGGCGTCGCCGTCCTTCCTCCTTCTTCGTCGTTGGCGTCGTCGCCGTCTTCCCTCCTCCATCGTCGTTGTCGTCGTTGTCGCCGTCGTCGTTTTTTCTCCTCCCTCGTCGTCGTCTCCGTTGGCGACGTCGTCGTCGTCTTCGTCGTCGTCGTCGGCGTCGTTGTCGTCGTCGTCGTCGGTGTCGTCGTCGTCGTTGTCGTCGTCGGAAACATTGGAGACGTCGTCGGTGTCGTCGCAGTCGGTGTCGGCGGCGCCGTCGTCGTCGATGTCGCTGTCGTCGTCGGCGTCGGTGTCGTGGCCAAGTGCCATGTGGTACCTACCGTCACGGTCTTGTCTGAAGAGGTCTTGCGACCAAGTTGCGGGTGGGAGGGTGGGATGTTTGCACGAGCAGTGGAGAGGACAGCTTCAAGACGGTCAATATTAGATGCACCACATAGAATGCACCACGCCGGCTGCACCACATGGACTGTTCCACATAGATTGCAGACCGTACAATGCAGCACGCAGATTGCCACACGTCGACAGCACCACATATTTTGCAACACGTGATTTTGCACCACATATGCGGCACAACATACAACATGTATTTCAACATGCAGATTGCAGTACCACTATTGCACCCCATGCGTTGCTCCACATAGGTTGCGCAATATCTATTGCTAGACAAACATTGCCTGGGGTCCACGTTGGCTAACATTTTCTTCTTCGAGGTTTTTGGGCGCTGTGGGCGGTTTTTGGTGCCTCCAGAGGCCCTCGGGGACGGGACGCTATGGGGACCTCCAGACCCCTTTTTCCCTTCCCATGGTCAATCGTGTCTGCCCTGTTCTTCGTCCTGCTGGTCGTTATTCTTCCGTCTTGCTCATTATTCCGCACTCTCCCCCTCTAGTTTTTGCTGCTGCGCCTCCTCCACCTGAGCGCCAATCGCGCGACTCATAGCCCGGGCATGTGTCGCAATTGGGCAACGCACAATCGTCGCGTCAGCCGCAGCGATCATGATTGCCATCGGTCAGATTCTAAGGTTCGCAGCCTCGCAAGCGCCGTGCAGCTCACCAGCATGTTTATCATGGGCATGGCGGCCATCCAAATTGCCGACATTGATGAAAAGCAGGACCGATATCGGTTCAAGGCGGAGAGACAAGTAAAATCTGCACAGCACCGCATGGATTCGATCTTGAGCCAGTTGGTGCCCCCGCTGGTGGCAGACGAGTTGAGCAGGCGACAGTCTTCCTGGAGCACGGACCTGCTGCACCAGAGCTTGGAGTGCTCCCACTCTTACCAGAAGGCCACCATCGCCTGCTCGGACCTCGTGGGATTTACTGCGCTGGCAAGCACACGCACAGCCGCGGAGGTCGTAGCGATGGTCACCGACCTTTTCGGGCGGTTTGATTGGCTCAGCGATTTCTACAGGATTTGCAAGATAGAGACAGTCGGCGACGCCTACATCGCCGGCCAGGCGGCGCGACCGCTCACATCGATCTACAGGCCCATCAGCGTGGTCGTCTTCGGGGTGGAGATCATAGAGGCCGTGAACAGCTGGTCGCGTGAGACAGGCATCTGGCGGCGCGCAGAGAGGGGCTGGCGCGGGGAGGGCGACCTCCTACTGCCTCCCAGCAAGCCCTCTTAAGATACCTATGAAGCCCCCTGCTCTAATAGTAGCCCTCCTCACCCATCGAAACACCACCGACCAGCATCCGCTCAAAACGAGTTCCCGGACTCCTCCAGGAGCCCATCGTGGGCAGTTGATCGATCCCGTGGCAGGGAGAGTTTTCAAGAACGCCCGACATTTTCCAAGACAACGCCGCTCGAACAGAAGCACGCACGTCTGGAGGTCCGCGCGGATTTCTTGGGTCGGCGCTGGACCCCCCGCATCAGCGCTTGCCCAAGAAATCCTCGCGGACCTCCGTACACGCCGGTCGTTGAAAGTAGGTATTTTTGGATTTCCACATCCCAATCTACTTCAAGCGCCTTCCTACTTCAAGAATCGGCTTGCTGTTGCTGTGTTTTGTTATTATCTGGGAGGGCCTGGACCCTATCCACTTTATCCGCCTTCCTACTTCATGTTTGTACCTACTTCTTCCGACCGACGTGTACGTGTACGCACGAGGGCATTGGCGGTGTCATCACGTCACATCGCTGGCTGTGGACCTCCGAAATGTCCACCGATTGAAACCACATGGGGGATGCCATTGTCGGCGTCTCGGGGAGCGCGCCCGCTTGTGGCCTAGGGCCGGCCCCGGAGGGGCTCCAACTGCTCAGGTTCCCCGCCCGTGCGATCAAAGCCGAGGTCGAGAATCCATGCCCCTGCGTCCGAGGCGGGAAGTTGTACACTGACCACCGCCTGGAGGGTCAGTTCTCGGAGCCTCGGCAGGCGATGGATATGGACATATTCGGGCCCCCAGAGGCCAAAATATATCCATATCCACCGCCCGCTGGGGCACTGCCCGCGGGAGGGAGGAGGAGGAGGAGAAGGAGGAGGAGGAGGAGGAGGAGGAGGAGGAGGCTGGAGGAGGAGGAGGAGGAGGAGGCTGGAGGAGGAGGAGGAGGAGGAGGAGGAGGAGGAGGAGGATATGGATAAATCCCCGCCTCGCACTGCGCGCACACATGCAGCTCTCTTTCTTCCAGCGGTTGCCCCCTCCGCCTTCTGCGCGCCACCCAAGAAGGCATCCCTCTCGAGTGCCGTGTCGGCGTCCACACCGGCGAGTGCATCGGCGGCGTCGTCGGCAAGGAGTCGAAGACGAACGATCCTCGTAACAGTTCAAACGTTCGGAGGTCCGCGCGGGTTTTTTGGGGATGGGCGTTGGATTCCCGTGGTGCCGCCCCTGGCGCGCTCCGTACGCCAAGGAGGGGGGTCTAGTGCCGGCCCGAGAATTCCTCACAGACCTCCGAGAGAGTATGCGCATGCATTTGCTCTTGTCGCCCCCAAACTCCCTGTAAGCAGCCCCTTCTCCTCGCCGCGCCACGGGGCTTCTTGATCAGGAGGGGAAAAAACACACAGACACAACTAATCGTCGATTCCCCCGAAAAGATTAGAAAATGTGGGAAGTAGTGGGGAAGACAAAAAATCCAAATATATGGGGAACTATGAGGGATATTTCTATTTGTGTGTATTTATTTGTGTGTCCTGGGGCCCCTTCACTTGAGCGGTCCGGCCGGGCGTTTCGCTCGAGGGCCGTTCTCGGCTTCTGGCCCTGCAGCTCAGATCTCCGAGCACCGGCCTGGACGGATGGCGCACGTTCTCACAACACGTGGAGTCTTCGTGGACTTCTGTGGAAGATGTCTCAGGCCAGGCCGGTGGGGACACCTGCAGTTGTCCTCTTCTCTCGCCTCTCTGTGCGTGCCCCTCAAGGCGCACGCGTTTCTGTGGAGCGTCCTGCGGCCAAGTGTCCTGTGCAGGCGCCATTCCACAGGGGGTGGGTATAAGCTGACTGGCTGTCTTGCTCGGTCGTCCCTCTCGCAACTTCCGAGTTTGCGTTTTGCGGGGTCTTGCTCCCCTGGGGAGGCGTTCCGATATCCAGCCGCATGCAGCGAGTCCCGCCACCGTGCCAGCCCATCACCCTGGGCGGCGATTGTCTGGGGGGCGCACCATGGGCCGTCGCGCGTGACACCTCGCATCCCGTGGCTTTGCATGTGACGCACTCTTCTGCGTCGTGTCGAAATTCTCCTCTCGTGCTCGGCGTTTTCCTTCGTTTCTTCTGTCATTTCTGGGGGTCATGTGGGGCAATCTTGGGCTACATCGGGCCGTCTTGTGGCTCTCCATACTGCATTCGTATTTTTGGGGGTCATGTGGGGCGCTCTTTGGCCGCCTAGGGGCCATCTTAGAGACCTCCAGGGCTGTCTGGAGCTGCAGGAAACTCGAACGTGTGAAGGCGCCAGACTATGTATACGGCAATGATGCTGGCCGCTTCGGACCCTGATGGGTGTCGCCCTGTGGCCTTTCTGTGCCGTCGTGCCAATCTTTGCTTTAAACAGGGTCCTGGCCCCAGGAGAGCGGTTACATTTTCTCATACTGGAAACCCCGACCGCGGCAACGCAGATCTGCCGTCTGTTACGAAGCATCGTGGCCTTAGGATGAAGTCGGGCCTGTCCCTCTACAGGAGGAATATTCAAACATACTCAAAACTAGTCTGGGGACGATTTTGTTGTGCATTTGTTGGCCATGTGGGAGTATGGTTTGATTTTTCACTTCTCGTCCAAAATCGTCTTGCAGGAGGACGTGTCCGACCTGACCTTAGGAGGAGGGCGGTGCGCGCGCCACTGAGTGAGGAGATGGGGGGGGGCGAGGAGAGCAGAAGAACCCTACCAGGCAGCCCTGTGTGTTTTGCCACGCCTCAGCGTGCCACGGAGGCGCGCTGAGGCGGAGGGCGGGAAGCGCGCTCAGATTCGAGGGGTCGCGCGATGATCGCTGCGAGTGGCCAGGCGGAGACCTGTATCACGTGGGAAGGCCCAGGAGGGGCGTGGCTCGAGTTCGTTCCCTGTTCTTTCGGATGGCGGCCGTGACGTGGATGTTAGAGTTTAGCTTGTTTTACAATTGGGTACTATTCGGCCACGACTGGGAATCAAACGTTAGGAGCGTACTGGGTTATGCTAGCTCGTGAATCATAAAACGTGGGAGGTCCGCACGCTGAGCGAGTGCACGTTGGCGACGTACTGATGTCTAACGCTGTCGGTGTCCATGCTGCAGAGCATACTTTAAGTTTGTATTCCCCAAGTGAACGCCTGACGCCGAGGAGGCGACATTTTTGAATGGAAGCATGGTTAGCTTCAATAATCCTACTCCAGTGCATGCGTGTCGCCCGATACATCCTCAACCCATCTGGACGGGCCTTCGAACACATCATAGTATGATGAATGTGTTGATGAGTTTGATGATGATGGCGATGGTGGTGCTGCTGATGCCATGAGCTGTAGTGATGCTGAATATGATGTTGCTGATCGGGGCGATCATGTTGGCGCACGTTCTTGCCAAGCTGGTCGATTTTACGCGCTCCCCGTTCATGTCCAGAAAAGGTTCTCACGATCCGATGTCTGCACGGTGTCGCTGTACACCCTAGCGTGGCCGATCCGAGTCGGCTCCGACGCCGTGCCGATGCGGTCCGTTTTGAGTGCCCCGTGGATCGGATCCGATTTCCCGACGCGACGCCGACCGCGCCCGAGGAGATGAAGAGGTACCACCTCTTCGGCCAACTGCTGTCGGTCCTGGAGCTCCTCGAGTCCACCGCCCCGACGGGGCAGGCCCCCCCCGCCGCTCTGCCCCCCCTTCTCCGTCCTGCCGCCGCCAGCGCCTCCGCCTCCTGCTGCCGCCCCCTCCTCCTTCCCGGGCCGCCTGCCGTTGTGAAAACCACCGCCAGGGGAGGCCCGCGTCCTCCGCATCGGGAGGGGTGAAGATCACGCTGCAGCCTGGGGGGGGGGCCTTGCCTGTCCTGTGACCAGCGGACTTCCTGATTCTCGGTGCGGCATTCGGCACCAGGGCGGATTCAAGGCAGATTCGATTTGGATCAGACATTGATGAGGTGCGGGTTCGACGCGAGTGGGTCCTTCGATGGGACAGACAAGGTCCCCAACATGTGCAACATCTGCGCCCAGGCTTTGCATGGAGCCCAAAGGTTTGCACGATCGTGGAGAAGGAAGAGGACGACGACGCCGACGAGGCGGAGGAGAAAGCAACAGCCTGCGCGGCGGCGTGTGTGCCACGGGCCTTTTATAGAACGTCGCGTGAGGCCCGGCCAGCTTCAGAAAGAAGCTGCGAGGCGAAGCAGCCGCAGGGGCTGGCAACAGAGTGCCCCCCCCCCCCGAGCCGGCGGTTCCGACGGATGGGGCCCTGCGCATCGGAAGGGATCCAGGGTTCGAGTTACGCTGTCTGAGGGAAGTCGTCCTCAGGGCCCCCTTCCCCCCTGACCCTGGTTGTTGAACCACCGACCGAAGATGCAGTGATGGGCCTGCCTTCCACCACCACCACCGCAAGTTGGAAGGGGGGGGGGGGGGGAGGCGGAGGATGACGAGGAGGAAGAAGACGACGAAGAGGAGGAGGAGGAGGAGGAGGAGGAGGAGGAGGAAGAGGACCCCCTCCCCCTCCTGCTTAGGGGTGGTGGTGGTGGTGTAAAGCGAGCCCACCATGCAACGCAGTGGGACTGGAGCGGGGCGCAGTGGGCGCGCCAAGGGCCCCAGCCGAGGGCGCGCGCACGCCCGGCGAGCGACAAGCCGCGACCGACGAGGCGGCGGCGATTGCCGATGGGGACGACCGGCGACGACTACGGCGACGACGACGACGACGACGACGACGACGACGACGTCGACGACGACGACGACGACGACGACGACGACGACGACGGCGACGACGACCGCGACGACCGACGGCGACCAGCGACGACGACGGAGGGCCACGGGGACGGCAGCGGAGACGGCGGCGAGTGACGACGGCGACGCAGACGGCGACGAGCGGCGACGGTGACGACGGCGGATGACGACCGCCGACGGCGACGGCGACGGCGACGAGGACGGAAGATGGCCAGAGGCGGCGACGGTGGCGGCGTCAACGACGACGGGTTGTAAAAGGTGCACCTGAGCAGGGCCTGCCAGCTGGCCGTGGAGGAGCAGGCCTCTGAGGAGGGGCTCGGCGGCGAGGTCGTGGTCTGCTCTCCCAGGACCCCCAGGGAACCAAACCTTTTTTCAGGTATGGGGTTGTTGTTGTTGTTGAAGTTGTTGAAGTTGTTGAAGTTGTTGTTGTTGTTGTTGTTGTTGTTGTTGTTGTTGTTGTTGTTGGTGTTGTTGTTGTTGTTGTTGTTGTTGTTGTTGTTGTTGTTGAACATTATTTCTTCTTAAGAATAATTATTGTTGGGGCCCCTGGTGCGCGACCCCCCCGCCGCGCCTAGGCCGCAGCCCTCATTTTCATCATTTTCGTGAGGAAGTCTCAGGCAAAACGGGTTGGTCCGGATCCGGTTGTGTTGTTACGATCGGTTTTCCCTTGCAAAAAATAAGCTAAAGTGGACATTTCTTGTTCTAACATAACCAAACTTCAAGAATCCCTTGCAAAAATCAGGTAAAGTGGACATTCGCGCGCGCAAGACGAAATCCTTCCAAAACCTTAGTTTTCGTAGCGATTTTAACATAAAAACTTTTTTTTTGTAAAAAAAAAAAATATAAAAAAAATGTTTTTCAAAAAAAATGTCAAAATTTCATCCCGCGCGCTCTTGCGGATTCGTAGGAAACCCAACACTTTTTAATCATTTCTGTCAAACGGGCTTTTGCGAGCAACTTTTTCGAACTTCTGCAACAACGGTTGCGCACCTGCCAGGGCCATCATCCCTGTCAAATAATACCATGCGGGACACATTCGTTTTTTCTTCGCGCGCGCACGCCGTCGTCGTCGGCCGCGGGGCCCTGAATAGTAGCCACGGTCGTCCGCATGCCACGAAGTGAAGTGTCCGAACGTCATAGGGCGGGAAGCTGGGTGTGGGTGGTGGCGAAGAGTCGTTTGGAAATTTGGTAGAGCTTGAACCGGCCCCCCCACAAAGTGGGGGTATTGCCCGCCTCCTATGAAAACCCTGGCACTGGTGAGAACGGTGTGTCCCCACGTGCTAGTAATTGTTGTTGTTGTTGTTGTTGTTGTTGAAATTGTTGTTGTTAATGGGGCCTCTATGCCTCACTCCTTCTGCTCCCGCCCCCCTCTCACAGACTCACGCATACTCAGACCCAGTCGTACTCAGACAACTCACCCTCAGACCCACTCATCATCTCTTTAGCCCGACTCAGACTCATACGCGCAGACCGCTCGCTAACAGTCAGACTCATTCCTGCTCAGGCTCGCTCGTATTCGGACCACTCACACCGAGATCCAACCCCACACTCCCACACTCTCCCCCCTTCGCCGCGGCGTGTCTTTCTCCCACTCCCTCTCCCTCCGCTCACGGTATGCCTCTACGAACGGTTGTTCTATTTCAGTGGCCGCGTTGGGCGCAGGGGATGTCCTCACAGCGCCTCTTCCCATTCTTTCCTCCTGCTTGGTCCTGCGAATATCCCGGGCACCTCCGTGTGACGACAGCACTTGGTCGCGGAATTGGAATGTCCGTTTTCTGGCGGCCGACTCGTTCAGGTGATCCCTTGTGCGGGGCGTCGTTGAGTTGAAATCTCACTAAGCTGAGTAACGCGGGGTGGATCTGAGTCAGATCCCCCCGCGTTACTCAGCTTAGTTGTACTCAGGCCAATAATGACAGACCGCTCGCAGTCATATCAGTCACGCTCAGGTCGCATCGCATTCGGATCGCATACGCGCACTCACGCATACACGGCGTCAGTGAATCTCTGATCCCAGCGGTGTAGCAGCCATTACACTTTGGAACCCCAGTGGAGAGACGCCAAATGGGTACCCCTCGGTCCTCAAACGCAGGTATTTTCGGACGCCCAAGTCCCAATCTACTCCCGGCGCCCGCCTGCTTCAAGAGTGGAGTGGTCTTCCCTCCTACCTCGTCCTCAGCCGCGGGGGGAAGCCCTATTTCTACCTTCAGCGCCTCTCTTATTCATGCTTATACGGTGAGGGCATTCGTTAGGGAACGTGCCCAGGAGGCTTTAGACCCTGGAGGGTTCTTCATCTTATGAGGGCGGCGACGACACCCATGGCCAATCCACGATTGGCTTCCCACTGGATTCCAGACCCTGGATTCCTTATCGAAGTTTTCCTTATCCAATGCTTGGCATCGCTCCGTAGCCATTTTGGCTCAAGATGCCTGCACTGGGGGGCTCCGCGCCTCCGTGCCAAAATCTGAGCTGCCAGAGCAGCACCCAGGACCTGCGGGTCACGACTTCTTCTGTGTCGGCGGGCCCGCCCCCGTCGGCTCCTGCCTGCTGCACGCCCGCGGCTGAGCAGCGCGCCCGCCCGATCCAGCGATGGGGCCCAAGGCCGCGCCTGGCTGCGTCGTGTGCACGGGCTGCCGCTACCGCTGGAACTTCCGCAAGAACGCGAAGTGCTGGCAGTGCGGGATCGGGCTGGAGCTGGCGCCCTCGAAGCCTTCGCCCCGCCGCGGGGTCTGGGCGGACGGCGGCGGCGGCGGCTCCCAACTCGCACATCGTGGGGGCGACGGCGGAGGCCCACCGAAGGATGGCGCCAAGGGCGGCAAGGGCGGCAAGGGCCGCGGTGCAGCCTCCCGCGGCGGCGGCGGCGGTGGCGCGGGCGGCCGTGGCGGAGGCGGCTTCCCGAAGGCCCCCTGGTCGGCCCTGCCCGAGAGCGAGCTCGACACGCTCCTCGCCTGTGGGGACCCCGCCATCGCGGCCAGGCTGCAGGAGGCGGTCCGCGACGCGCGGGGCTACGTCGCGCCCGCGGTCGCCCCAGCGCCGAAGCCGCTCGAGCAGCGGCTGCAGTCGGCCACGGCGAAGCGGATCAACCTCCAGCGCCAGCTCGACGAGGCGGCGGACGCGCTCGTGGCGGCGGAGGACCACCTCGCTGAGTGCCGCGGCTGGCGCGACGAGGCTGCGGTCAACCTCACGGAGGCCAAGGGGGGGGAGAACGCCCTCCTGCGCCAGCGAGCCCAGGCGGCTGGCGTCGTGGGCGCCCAGCCCGACGGCGCGAGGCAGCTCACCTTCAACTTCGACGCGGAGTCGTTCGACAACTTCGCGGAGCTGGAGGAGGAGGCGCAGGCCACCCTCAGGCGCCTCTGCGATGAGGGGCTCCAGATCATGCAGGGCGCGCAGGCTACGTTCGAGCGCAACTGCCAGGAGCACCAGCAGCGCATCAAGCGCCAGATCGAGGAGGAGGTGGCCAAGAAGCGCAAGCGCACCGAGGATGGGGCCTGCAGCAGCCGTGGCCGCTGGCACCCCCGAGCAGGGCGCTGCCGCCCCGCCGCAGCCTGCAGGACAGGCGGCCGCCCCTGCTGCCGCCGCCGCCCCCGCCGCAGGCGCTGCGCCAGGAGCTGAGTTCCCCCCGGCGGCCGCCGTGGAGAGCCGAGCGGCAGACGAGGCGGCCCGCCAGCGCGCTGCCGACCAGAAGGCCGCTGCGGCGGCCCCTCCACCTGCTGCTGGCGCTGCTGCTGGCAGTGGCCAGGCCCGCGGGTAGCACCCTGCTGCCAGGCGGCGGCCCCGACAGCGCGGCGCCGCCCGCCCCAGCCGGGGCCGAGGAGGCAGAGGCGGCGGCGCCCAGCCGCTCCGAGGCGGCGGCGGCGCCGAGCGGCGGCCTGCACGCCTACCTGGCGGCCAACGAGGAGGCCGACGCCTGGGAAGGGCCCCCCTTCAGAGTGCCGCTGCTGCGCCAGGACCGGCGCCTCGACGACGCGCGCCACGACGCCAAGTTCGAGGCGCTCAGCAGCAGGACAGAGCCAAGCGCTGCGGCGGACTTGGCTGGGCCCGACCGAAGGACTGGCAGTCCTCAGCCCAGCCAGGGGCCCATAAGGAATCGTGGGTACCCAATTTAAGTTGACGAGGCTACGGGCGAGGGCGTGAGACCCCCTGAGGTTCGGAGCCCCAAGGCGGCGAGCAGCCGCCCGCCTGGCGGCCGCGCGGCCGCCGCGGCAGCCGCGAAGCCTGCGGCCCAGCCTCAGCCTGGGCGACCGCAGGCCAAGCCCCTCCAGCTGGCCAAGCTGATCAGGCCTGCGGGAGCGAAGCGAGCCAGCTTCGTCACGCTGAACGGCTCGACCTGGTCAGAGACGCAGGTGGAGCTGGAGCGGATCCAGGACGATGGAGGAGGCGACGACGTCATCCTGGTGCAGGAGACGCGCTTCACCTCCAGCCAGAAGGCGACTGACGCCTGCAGCTGGGCCAGGCGCAACTGCTTCAGCGCCGCCTTCGGCAGCGTCCACAGCACGGGGCAGGCGGCGCAGGCGGTCTCGGCGGGCGTCGGGGTGCTGGCGTCAACGACCAGGGGCGTGGCGGCGATCGACCACGACTGGCACCAGCACAGAGCCCGCATCCTGGCCCGACGGGTGGCCTTCGGCGATCTCGTGGTCACGGTGGTCAGCGCCTACCTCGAGCACTCGACCAGGATGGCAGGCTACAACCTGGAGCTGCTGTCGGACCTCCAGGAGTTCCTTTTCAGCCTCCACGAGCCGTTCATAGTGGGGGCCGACTGGAATATGGACCCCAGCATCCTCGCTGCCTCTTGGTGGCCACGGGCTGTGGGCGGAGTGGTGGTAGCGCCCACGACCTTCACTTGCGGCGACCAGATCTACGACTTCTTCGTGATCTCCACGGCGCTCGCTGGCCTCAGCCCGAAGGTGGAGGTCATCAAGCCCACAACCCTGCACCCGCACGCGCCAGTGCGGCTTACTTTCAGCGAGCTGGGCAGCAACGCCATGATCTGGGTCCTCAAGACCCCCAGGTTCTTCGACGTGGGCTCGGAGGTCTCGGCTGAGCAGCGCGAGAAATCCCTGCAGGCGGCGACCCAGATCAGCTGGTCAGCCCCCCTCACCGACAGCGACGGCACGCCCGACGCGGCGATCAAGGAGTTCTTCGAGGCCGCGGAGCTCCACCTGATCGACCAGTTCGGCATCTCCGAGGGTGAGAGGTACCAGGGCAGGGCCAAAGGACCCCGCACCGTCAGGAAGAAGCTGGCGGACCTGCAGCGCACGGAGGCTGTCAGGAAGCTCAGCCCCCTCACCAAGTGCTGGCTCTGCCTCGGGAGGATCGCCAGGCAGCTCAGTGCGGCTGCTGCGGTCTGCTC